AGAAAAAGAACTGGAAATGTACAATTTATTGATATCGCTGTACCAGCAGACGCCAGTCAAAGAAAAAAACTGGAAATTTTTTTACAAAATATCGCGACCTGGCCATTGAAACTACACGGTTATGGATGAAACATGCAACAGTGATACATACCCATTGTCATCGGGGCACTTGGTACCATGTCCAAGAATTTTACAAAACACATCAAGAAATTGCAAAAGCCTGTGCTACTCAGAACAACATACATTATAAGAAGATACTTGGTTGATACCTGGGATGCTGGCAGCAACCCGTATCAACCGTCAGAGCCAGTCAGTGATATTTGTGATACATTTTTAAATGTTCAGTTGACTGAGTTTCATGTTTAATGAATAAGAGATAATAAAACAACACAATCCCTTTAAACACCATCAAACAACAATATCTGCCTATGGGGTCATTGTTGCTCTCTGAGCTTTGAAGGGTTTTAGGGGTATGAATGGATTTCCAGAGAAAAATTGCATCCCTACTCAGGTGACCTTGAGGATACAGATAAACCTCCAAGTGCCTCAACAACCCTCTAAAAGGATGTAAATGACCAGCTTTCTGCAAGGAATATAAATTCTTCCATTCTCCACTACCATCCAGTCAGAGCTGAAGAAGCTTCTTGGATGAGCAGCAAAATCTCTTCAAAGAAAAGAAGAAGAAAAGTCTGTGACCTGGATGACTGAGAATCTCCATAGACGCTGAGCTTGGCTGCTTTCCTGCAGATATCTCATTACCCAGCTAGGTAACATCATCAGTGTGAGAAGGGAGTGGGGTTTGCTCTCTGATGTTACACTCGTTAAGGAATGAAATGTTTGCAAGAAAACAACCAAGCTCAGAGAACATCAGGGATTCCTTGTTGCAACCCTGAGCTACAAATACTCTCTTCTATTAGAATATCTGCCTATCCCAAATTCTTGATAGGTGGATAAAATTCCAAATCTAGCCTAATCTCCTAGCTGAATGTACAACAAATGATGATAATCATCATCATAATCATTAAACTTTCATGCTGCTTATGGTTATACTCTTTTTGTCTATTAAACTATTAAACTTTCTGTTAAACGTGTATTTGCTGCATTTTCCCAAATGTTGCTTAGTGAATGTGATAAGTGTTTGTTCAATTTATTAGGATGTTAGTGCCCATATTAAAAGCGATATGGATAATATAGCAAGCCTATAAAAATACAGAACAAACAATAATAAACTTACTGATCTCTTTTTGTGTGAATGCTGGTATTAATGGAATAACTGTTTACAGATTATGAATGCAATTTTTTCTAATTCATTGTCTGCAGTTGGACCTACAGTTTCTGCTACTTTAGCCATAGCTATATGTTTGCATTTTCTATTGGTTACAATATTTATCCTGTTTCTTAGCCTTAAGTGAGAAATGTCTGAGCCTTTTCAAAATATATAGATGGATTTTCTTTCTCACTTAATTTTTTTTCTATCAACAGTTTGTGCTTATTTATAACTTCTTGAATATGTTGCCTTTCCTTTCTATTTTAGGGCCCTCCAAGATGTTCCTCTTTGCAAGCACCCATAATGTTACTTTCTGGTCATGAAGGAGAGGTTTATTGTTGCAAGTTTCATCCTAATGGAGCCACCTTAGCCTCAGCTGGGTTTGACAGGTTGATACGTAAGTCAGTTAATTCTGTGATCTTCCTTTGAGCGCGATAGGCTTGTTAGAGCTTTAGATTAGGTATTCTCAGAAGAGCCATTCCATTCTAGTGACAGTAAATAGAGACATACTTCTAATGTAGGGGTTCCCAGCCCACGGTCTGTAGACTGCCACCAAGCCACGCTTGTTTGTGCAGCCAGAAACCGGGCCACACAAACAAGCGAAAACCCCATCTGCGGAATGCAGGCAGCACACGAAACCACACACACCTCTGGTCCATGGAAAAATCTCTCTCCACGGAACTGGTTCCTGGTGCTCCAAAGGCTGGGGGCCACTACTCTAATGATGTGCACTGTTAAGTAGTTTTTAGCAGAATTTTATTGTCATTTACAAAAGAATGCTTTACCCTTTTCATCCTTTAGAGCAGGGGTCTTCAAACTTGACAGCTGTAAGACTTGTGGACTTCAGCTCCCAGAATTCCTCTTCCAGTCATGTTAGCTCAGGAATGCTGGAAATCCACAAGTCTTAAACTTGCCAAGTGTGAAGACCCTTGCTTTTGAGTAAGCAGAATTTTACTTTCTCTGTGCTTGTCTGTTGCTAAATATGTCAATTATAGGTCAAATATTAACAGCACTTTTACTTTTTGCAATCTTAAATGCAATATCACCCGCCTAATTGCATTGTGTGTATTAGGCACCTTTGATTTGAAATGGCTGTTTAAATATATTTCAGTTTTCAGGGTAAATACTATACTTAGGCTTGATCCTCCCTCTCATTTCAGTCCTATGGAATGTGTATGGTGACTGTGATAATTACGCCACTTTGAAGGGCCACAGTGGTGCAGTTATGGAATTACATTACAACACTGATGGCAGGTTGGTATTCAGTGTTTTTTTTTACATTTTGTAGAATATGCCAAAAATATTTCTCAGCTTTTGAAAACAAGTAATGATCTGTGATTTGACCAAAAAACAAAAAAGAAAACCACAATAGGAGTGAAGAAAACTTTGTTCATATAATATTCATATGTTGTGTTTTATTGTTTCTATGGTTTGCTATTGCTTTTCTTGTTTTCTTTGAAAAGGATCCCTGAAATATTTTTTTAAAAAAATACTTTGTTACTATAATCTACATATAGCTAAAGTGTGTGTGTGTATGTGTGTGTGTGTGTGTGTGTGTGTAAAAGATAAAGGTTTCCTTGTCCAGTCATGTCCGACTGCAGGACGCGGCGCTCATCTCTGTTGGTGAGGGAGTCAGTGTTGTCTTGAAGACAATTTCTGTGGTCATGTAGACAACATGGCTATATGTCAAAGGCGCAGAGAATGCTGTTATCTTTCCACTGAAGTAGTACCTATTTATCTACTTGCATTTGCATGCTTTAGAACTGCTAGGTGGGCAGGTGTGTGTGTGTGTGTGTGTGAGTATTATGTGTATGTGTGTGTGTATACATTAAAGTACAATATACAGTACAGTGTATAAATGTACATTAATGTGCATATATAAGTATATTACAAAAAAACCCACATGTTTTGAAATAAGTGACTCAGTTTTAAAGTAAGAAATAAATCATACTCATAGCAAATCATATACTCCAGTGTTTACATTGAATTGATAACGAGCCAGTTCAAAGGCTAGAAGGGATATACATATTTTTTCAATATAGGATTTTAAGCTGGATTAACTCATTTTAAAATTGTTCATAGAGCAATAAATGTCAAATTTCCATTCAACTTGAATAATCCAAAATCTTTAAACCTTATTTCTGCTCTCAAAACTATACTAATACTTTAAATATCAGCTTAACACACAAGCCAGCCAAAAGCATATGAGTCAAAATTTCCTCAAAGATACTGCACCTTTAGCATGAACAACTCAAAAGGTACTTTTTTAGAAACTCCTACAGTAAAAGAGTGCTGCATAATATAATCTATTATGTGTGTTAAGTTTTTAGTCGCTAGGCTATGCTTGTTGCATAATTATCTAAAATTTTAATTGTAGCAAAACAAACATGGTAGCCTTTTCCTTTAATGCTACAGGCAATATTAAGGTGAGCCCCCCTCCCCCCCAATTGAGTTCCTGTCTATATCTTTCTCTTATCTAATGGATCATTTTTAATGCAATAAGTAATTTCTTTAAGTGTTGAGAAGTACCAGCTTTATAAGATTCATAGCCATTGCCTTCTTTCTCAGCATGCTGTTCTCGGCCTCCACGGATAAAACAGTAGCAGTATGGGATAGTGAGACAGGAGAGAGAGTGAAAAGACTTAAAGGACACACTTCATTTGTCAAC